AATAACGGGGAAAAGCACCATATCCAAAGGATAACCTGTAAATGTAGGTGTTGCCTGAAGAATGAGAGAAAAAACGAGAACAGCAATTTAAGTTTATTATATATCGTTTACAAGATTGGTATTATATAACCAAGGTTAATACGTTAGAGCGATGTTTTGTCTTAGTTTTGTTGATGGTTACACATCACTCCATCATAGATGGTACTTGTCAGCCAAGAACACCATCCCGCCCATCCGGAACATGCTGTTTTGACATCACTTTGACTCTCATCGTGATGCTGTATCGTCCCCATCTTCAATAGTTTAGGATCTGACACTACACAAGGGTAAACTATGAATTGACCCTCTGTTATGCTTCACTAAGACTGACACGCCTCATGGGTGGACCAGGGAAGACCCACTACTTGAGTAGACTATGAATTGACCCGCCACTTGGGTAGACTATCAGCTGACCCTCCACTCGAGTAGACTATGATAGACACTCTACTTGAGTGATCAGTGTCAAACATGGTGTCGGTTTACATTTGTTTTACTTCCTGTTTCCATTATCTCCGCGTTTGTTTAATTTTGGAATAATGCCTTACTTCAGATTTGTATTGATTATCAATTTCAATTCAGACAAATATTTTATATTAATGTAGCTATTCTTCGTACTGATTTAACTATTTTGAAGATAAACGAAAGCATATTTCTCGCTCCTATAAATGTGTATCCTATTTTCGTGATTTAACTGATCCATTTGAAATGAAATATATTTACCATTGTCTAAGGTCAGTATCAACCTAAATTTATATGAAATAACATACATTACATTACCATACACAACTGAACCATTGCAATACAAAGATGGAGAAAACTAAAAGCATGTCTTGATTTTCATTAAAACTGGTAGGTAATAGCATAGTATTTTCAAACAAATAAATATCATGCAAGACAAAGGTCATTTAAAGAACTAGTCTACTCACAAAAGTCGATACACTATACATGAGTTAAACCAACACTGTTACTAAAATAGAGAACTAATTAGCAGAAAGCTAATTAGTGTAGTTGATGCCGAATGCATCCCATCAAGGTAAACCCGCTAAATGACGCTCGACCATGCAACACCTCAGTTGTACAGACTGCTAATGTGGTAACAGTGATGGCGAGAAAGAGTGTTGCTAATTAACTCAATCTGGCGTAAGCGTGTGGACAAACGCCAGTAATTAACCTTTTCATTGTTGATTCAAGGAATACCTTTGTTCAATTTAAACGAGTTGATCTCTGTGTTTTTGTTAAAGAGGATTAACCTCAATTCGTAAACACGGGACGTATATAAAGTTTTGGGTTAACTGGACTAGGGGTGTTAGTTGGACTGATTTGTCAAACCGTCTGGAAGGTTGGGGTGTTTTTGAAGATATTTCACAGGAATTGCCAGATGGTACGTACAGATCAAATCATTTTGTGTCATTCTGTAGCAGGGGCCATCTTGTAATTCTATCAATCAGGAACTGTTTGCTTTATTAGACGAATGACGCGACATGAAAATCTTGTAGGGCATGCCCTTCAATTGATCTTCGAGACGAGGTGGGGGTTCCAGTGTGCTAAATTGAAATCAGACAAAGGCAATGTGAACTCAGATTGATCAAGATGGTCTGTCGTCTGCTTCGAGCCCCAACGTGGCGCCGGGTTTGGATCGATCGGTTCTTTAATTTCATTTAGGCATAATTAGAACTTGCAGATCATGTCCCGACTCTCTAATTGACTACAAATTTAAAAGAATCCATTCTTCCGTGTTCAAGAAAGGAGACTTGTCCCGACAATATCCGAGAATCTTGATACGATGGAAGTGCAGCGGCTCACACAGTGCAGATCCCCTCTGCTCCGAAACACACGATAGACAAATATTTTGAGAGAGCACTTTTGTCGCTGTAGTGAATGGAACAAGCCCTAGTACAAAACCCGAGCCACTTTTCATTTGCTATCATTACCACCCTTTAACACAGGCCCTTGGTGCATGAAAAAAAGTATTTAGTCCTACAAAGGGGGAGCGAAGTTAATGTAGCAGAAGAGGGGATGTTAAAGATGAAGTTCAGGTAATTGTCCTGTCCTGTTGAGACACAATGGAGGGAGCCCAAGCCTCTACGTCTATTGACTGGTTTCCCCGTATATCAAATTGCCTTCTATCCCTCAGTCTAATGACAGCCTGTCACGACGTGGAGTTCTCCCATCTCGTTCTGCCATTCATCGCCAGCCAAGCACCAGCGGCCTCATAGCGGGCAGTTTCGAGCTGGTAGAAATGAACAGCAATTTTCTCAGCAGCGTCGCGCTTCAAAAGGAACACGATCAAATTCCCAGCCCCATTGAGTCTCAGCCTTTGCGGCAAGAAGAGGGAGAGATCATTATGTTTTAAAGTCATTTCTTTGTAAAGGGTCCGGACGGACGGTATTCACCAGTTATATTCGGCCATAATTATGCATATGAACTGAAAGAAGGCCAAGGCACGGGAAAACTATTTTTTTCCGAATTCCATGCAAGTTTAAAAGCGATAATGACAACCTGTCAGAGATTGTAGAGATAGAACGGACACAGGTATTGAGAGCTCAAGAGTGCACGACCTCAGCACCATGTTTTGCAGCACGAGCTCCATCAGAGCAGACGTCAATGGATAGCAGACGTGACTGGAACTAGAATGTGACCCATCGAATGTTGTATATTCTGACTTTCTTGAAACAGGTAGGACCGATTAACATTTTTGATGGGGGTTATTGTATATATTCCATACGTGAACATCTACACGAAGATACCCCAGGAATGCATGGTGTTAGAGTTCAGACAGACAAAGGAAATGTGAAATGGTTTCTTTTGTTTTGAATCATTCTTGAACTGATGGTCTTGTTGTAGGGATATTGTTTCTTTCATTCTCAGGAAAACATGCTTTACTGTCATTTAAATTGTCTGCCTGTTAAAACGGACAGTTGTGTTGTTTTCCAGTGTTAAAATACACACCATCTTGCCTCGTTCTAGCAAATAGTATGTGTAGGTTAACCCTTGTACTAATGAGCCCGGAATATTATCATATTAGCCGTTAGATTGCTGTAAGATCTTACTGGATTCAATTTGATATAATAATGTTTCCTTTCAAGGAAAGTTATTTCTATTTTCTAACCCAATATTTAAGTAAGGGTAATTTATCAGATGTAAACATGCCATAGAAATCATTTCGAAAATAGGTACATCGGTTACAAGAGGACACAATGAGATGTAAATGCATATGTATGTCGTGTAAATCGTATGTCGTGTAAATCGTATGTCGTTAAGTAGCAGGGCGATAATACCGGTTAACCGGTATATTGCAATTCGAAGTTCGCAATACGATATATTGCGGTACACTTTTCGCGAACCGGTTCACCCGATATGATCGGCAATGTCCGTGACCATGATCGGTAATTTTCGTGTTGTAGTTAAAAATACTAATAAGATTTGTATTTCCTTTATATTATTATACATGGATAGTTTTGAGAATGTTTATTGGTCAATCACATCTGAGTCCTGACAATGGCCAATGGCATTGTTTCAAAAATAGGAAGACAGTAGTTTCATTACCTTAGTTAAACACGTGTTACACTTTCACAATATATTCCAATACATATTGAAATACGCCAACACATATCGCAATATATCGCAATACGAAAATTTTGGCAATATCCAACCCTATCGTTAAGTATTGAACATGGTGTGTATTTGGACGTCAATAGTAAGTAAGCAGGGGCTACTATAGCCAGACACTGCCAGACACTGCCATTTCTCCAGCACAGACTCTGCGAGAAGAGAGAGCATACTGCATGTAGGGATGGATATAGAGGGTCTATTTGTGCATCATGTTTTGCCACTTTTGGGACGTTTTGGGCTTGGACCGCCCTCATATATAGTTGAATATGGCTGAATGCAACGTTAATATAAACAAACAAAATATTAGCAATATCACACTTGCTGGAAATGTGTCTACACCTTTCAGGGCAGTTTCACGTGTCTATGTATCATAGAGTATTTGACCTCACTGATTTCATGTCATCGACTCTTATTCAGAATTGATGTCTTTCCTATCAACCGCTGGTTTATTTTGTCCAGAATTTTACGGACCCCTTGACTGCTTAGCTGAAATGTTGCTAAGATAAAACATACCCCTTCCGTTTTAAAATAGATTTTGGAACTCTATTTATTGTGAAACATTTGAAATGGGGAAAACAATAAAGAAAGGTCACCTGGCAATAATGGAGATAAGACGTGCATTTTACAGAGTGAGACAGTTTAAGACTCGGTGTCGCGGAAAGGTGGCATCCTTTGAAATGGTGGATTTTCAGGTAAACAACTGTATTCAGAAAGTGATCAATATTGACAGGCTTCCAATGCATGTTACACTGGGGCCAATACGATCCACCCTTAGCATCCCAAGACTAATGTTTAGTTGTTTGTGCCGCGTATTTGCCATACAGGCGATACTACAAGCGTCCTTGTGTGGCGTTAAGGAATCTAACACACACATCAATTAAATACGCTTTCAACATTTAAATTCAAAATATTATTCTAACCCGCTTTAGGAATCGATACGTGTTCTTTTAGCAATTGCTTTGAAAACCGTGCTCCCCGGTTTTCTATATCATCTGTTGTTGCCCATTGAGAAGTCTTATATTTACAAACCGAATTGAGCTTATTTGTATCATGTTCGGCAGAAATATCATCAATGAAACCGTCAACAAAGGCACGAGAAGCACAGTCTGTATTATTCGTATCTTTGGTACTTGAAGAAATAATGTAAAGCGCTCGAGATCCTGAAAGAAATTCGGTCAGTCATCTCAGCACGAGACGGGAGTTTGTAGCAGACGATAAATTTCGAGGGTGTGCACGGGTGCAGTCCTCGCGCGCTCACGTAGAAGTTGTGGGAAATTTAAGGCTAAAACTTTTGGCAAGTTCTTTAGAGATACTTCCAGCTGATTGCATGTATTCATTTTCTCTCGCAGGCTTTACAGTCGAGACTATAGAAGCTTCAACACGCTCCAGTGCCGACTGACGAGCCTCCCCGAGCCCGGGCCGGACTTATTGCTGAGTACCAGTGAAGCAGAAGCGATATACTACACCAGTACGGGCGAGACGGCCAACGCTAGGCGCTCCCAACAACAAGGAGCGGACGGTGGATAGCGGATCGGGACAGAATATATACCGAAAGTGTTCCCTGTATATGCTTCAGATGGACATACAAGGGTAAAATGGCGTCATGATGCACCCCACCTCTTCCCGGATCCCCAACCCTGACGGTTAGCCACGTGGGTGATGGCAGTTTCTCGTGTTTACAACTGTACTCGACCGGCTATGGAGCTTGCAGTGTTCCAGGGGTCCGTCCATACCGCCTCACTGGCGGTGTGTACCGTCCTGGTATTGTTTGTGTTGATCCTGGGATCTGTGGGCAACGGAGTCGTCATCCTGTCGGCCATCAAGTGTAGGAAACTCCGATCGAACTTCGATCTGCTGATTGTGAACCTTGCGGGTACGGACTTTATTCTGTGTACCTGTTTATCCCCCGTGTTTCTCTACCTGTTGTTCACGGACCCGCCCACACCGAGACTCTTCTGTGGGAGCTTCCTATTCCTCGGGACAGCGTGCGGGATGTTATCTCTCCTCACCATCGTCGCCATCGCCATCCACAGACAGGCCCGAGTTGTGGGACATGCTAAGGGGACGCTCACCCCCACCCAGACGGCCGTTATTCTTGGAACAGTGTGGTTCATAAGCCTTTCAACAGCATTGGGTGGCACCATGCATGTGACTTCAAACTGGAGCGACTCCTTCCACAACTGTCAAGTCATCATAAATAGTGCGAATATGAAAACCCATAACTTCATCCTGTTCTTCATCAGCCCTGTGGCATTACTCGGCTTTGCAATAATCATTGTATCATATCTAATCATAGCACGGGCAGTGAGGACCCAAAGTCAAGTCCGTACATTAAAGACTCCCGGCACTCAGACCACCATCTACAGACCGCCGAAACCAAAGTCCCAAGACAAGAAGCCTCTAGACAAAAGGCCATTAGCGTTGGTGCCAAAGGACAAAGGCAAGAGACTGTATCCTGGAAGATACTGCCAATGCTGCAGCAACCAGGCCATCCTTGACAAGGAGAACAAGGCAGTGACGATGTGCTTAGTAGTGATACTCACCATAGTGTTATGCTGGAGTCCGTTAGTGGTGTCTCAGTTCGTGGAGCTCATTACAGGAGAGTCTATCATTCTGTATCAGGTAAAGTTGTGTGGCATTGCCCTTGTGTTCCTTAATAGTGCTCTGGACCCGTATATATATGCACAGCATAACGGCCGGATTAAGCACAAGTATGGACGGATGATTTGGGAGGCGTTACGATGTGATTGTAAAGGACCCAAGAGAAACATTTTAACAGTGCAGGGTACGGGGAAAAGGGAGAAGCTTAAACACAAATCCCAGTCTCACGTAGACCAGGACACCCACACGCTCAATCTAGCCTCACCAAAACAGACTAAAAAGTTCATGGAGAAACGTGCTTTCCATGCTAATAATGTGCTTCCAAAGACGTACACGTCCAACATACTACTGTACCACAATGCACCTACTACAAGACTTGATAAACCTACAATACCATGTGATAACGCTGGAGGTGCTTCTGTCAAAAAGACCAACCAAGTTGGGGACTTGCAAGCGGTGGTGTATGAGGTGAAAAGTTTCGTCCACAAGTCCTGCTGCCACACAGGGTCCCCCAAAGACCACAGCTGGGTCGAGTCTTGACCCCCTTCCCCTTATTACCCCCTCCGCACCAGAAGGGGGTGTCAGTTTACGTGTACCCCCCGTCAGTGTTTTGCTACCCGTCTGGATTCAAAGGCCCATTCTTGCACCAAGGATTACCTGTCCGTTCTTATGGTAATGATATCAATACCGAGACTTAGCTGTCTGTTATCATGTAAATCTCTAACTTCTTCAAAGCTTACTTTTCAACTTATCCCGAGACCCGAAACATATTTTTCACCTCTGACCTAAGTATTATCCAAACTTAACCATTTCGGCAGGATGTGCTCCATGAATTCCGCCCATGCTGCTAATACGATATCGTTTTTTTCTCCCTAGCCTTTATGTGATTTTTAACATCAAAAGCACATCAACAGCACAGGTTTACTACACGTAACAATGGAAGCTGTATCTGTATTGTCACTATCAAGCGTTCAGATATATGTAGCCCTTTTCTCTTGAACATATTCATGCCTGAACAAAAAGGAAATTGAGTCAGACATTCAGCTTTAGGGGTATATGTGTTTGACGCGTGCTGTTGGGTCATCGAGTTTGCCGACATTTGTAACATGCCTAGACTTACTCCCCAAGTGCACGTGTGTTGTAGCAGGTACCAAGTGTTTGCCATTTTCACGCAAAATAGAACTCTTGAAACACTACGATTTTGACACATGCTTCTAAAAACCCAAAACTGGCATTTGACGAGTTCTGTGATGTATTAAATATGTACTTTTTGATGTTTCGGCCTTTCCATACTGCTACGCCGTGAACTGTGCTGTTGTTAGCGAATTTTCTGAGCGTAAGTGTAAAGCATGATTTTGAAAATTAACATTTACTTTTTGCCACTAACATGAAGCAGCAACCTTTCCGCAGCCATAAAAGAAAAAGTCAATGGTTTTTTAGATCCTTCCCATATGGTGTACATTCTCTTTGATAGAAGGAAACTTTCTGTTGCAATGGGGAACTGACATTTTCGGTTTGGAAATGTTAGGATGTGAGGAAAAGGACTTGGATGACGAATGACTGGTTATTGACCTTCACTGCGAGTGCGGAGGGGAATAATGTACACACAACAAGTGCAATGTGACTTACAAGTTTCGAGATTTTACGAGACTTGAGCCCAGCTATCGTGACGGCTGGTGGTGAAAACGGCCAACCTAATCTTGGAAAAAAATACCAATGGATTTTTAATGACTTACGCGATACGTAAAGATGTTTTAATAATAAACAGCACAATCATTACATGCTGGGCTTATAGTCGAAACCCTATCTGCCATTTTCTTTTTAAAAGAAGCTTGGCAGTACGGACAAAGAAACGGTATGTGTAAGTTTGGTAAAGTAAGAATGTTTTTGTTGAAACTTTGTAATGTATTATGATGTGGTGAAATCCATGCTGGTTGTATGAGAGACGGAGCAGTATTTTATTTGTGAGAGAACCTGTGTTCTCGGAATTGTACATATGTGGTGACTGTGATGATGAATGTATATTAAATGACAATCTTGCTCATCTTCGTCAGTGTTGTGCTATTCTGTTGCTGTGCATCAACACCTTCATATCCACATGATATCAGGAGGCCGTTGTCATGGATACGTGTTCTTCATGAACAATATGGTATATGCTAAGTATGTCTCTATCAGAATGTCAAGGAGAGAATTTATAGATGTCAACTTCTGTGTTGTAAGAAACATAATGTTTCGGAAAATATTCCCACTTCTTCATCACCAGAAATGTCGTGTTCCTTATAATAGAGACATTGGCATCCATAAATTCTCTTCATTATCTACATCACTTAGGATTTGTATTCGGAGTCTGAATCTGAAAGTTATTAACGAATACTTTTCTGTTCCGGTTAAGTGCTGAATACAGAACTTTCGACGACCAAGTAACCAGTTAGTTTATTGAAATAGTAGACTAACAACTAGTCTCTGAAATGAACATATTTTACAGAAAAAAGGCTCATAGTGAAAAAAACTATAATTAAAAGGAGCCCTGAGACTTTCTTCATTTTCAGAAGCTGTGGAAATCTAGACTTGCACATTTTCTAGACTTGCGTGGGATTTCTTGGATATGTTTGCTTCAGGGTCTGTATGACAGACTATTGAAATAGTATCAGTAGTGAGTGATATTCCTGTCGTTAAAAGGTCTGAATATTCAAGTATTTCCTACTTAACAGAACCTTAGTTTGCCATTAACTTTGTAGTCATAACAAAATAATCATGTCTGAGATCACGATGATTTAAAAAAGACTCAATACAATCCAATCCCTGGTAACAACATTGTGAGATTTGCATTTGGTAGGAGTAAAGATACGAATTTCTCAGCCAATATAAGACGAGTTTATTCAGCACTTTGGCTATTGACCCAGATTTCGTATGAGTGAACACAATAATGTTGCAGTCGCGTGACTGACAACATTCGCTAAATCAAGAAATCTTAGAAAAACGTTTTTTTGATAACGATAGCTGCTGACATAATAGTATTTAGAACATTTGAATCAGTAAACTGTGAAGCAATGACATCGCAAACGAACAGGACATGACACGAAACACGTCTTCAGTAGACCCAGATTTGCAATATGTGCAAACAATATGTGAACAGTCTACGTCTTTGTTGGACGTTAATCCTAAGATATTTAATGTCATGATAAAACGATGGTCCCTCCACCTCGCTGAAGGAAAGGATCTACAGAACAAGCAAACACTGTGTCACGCATCTCGGCTTGGGTCTGTTACATAACAGTAAATATTTAGTTTCGTACTTAAGTCTGTAGGGAAATAGCTTTAGTTCTGGTGTTAAAGTCAGTGTTGCATCAGACACAAAGCGTCATCTGAACTAGCTTCCGTTCTCAGCTCGTTTTAGTTGTTTGGTTCTGTCAAAAGGGGATCTAGCAATATACAGGTTATAGCGAGTTCAATACCAGTCCATAACCAGTGGGGTAGCCTAGTGGTTAAAGCGTTCGCTCGTCACGCCGAAGACTCGGGTTCGATTCCCACATGGGTACAATGTGTGAAGCCCATTTCTGGAGTACCCCCGCCGCGAAATTGCTGGAATAATGCTAAAAGCGGCGTAAAACCAACTCACTCACTCACTCACTCCATAACCAGTAATTCAGACAAGAGCATGTTGTACCACCTGGATGTGCTTGACATATAGGTTACTGAACATATCCATTCTTCCGCCAACAGCAGCTTGTTTCCGTACTTGCGTAATATACATCAAAGTATTGACAAATACCAAATTATGGGCTTGAAAACCCCAAATGGGCTTGAAAAAAATAAAACGTACAGTAATGCGGTGCTTGGAAAGGGCGCTATTTCTCACATATTTTAATTACAAGCTCCACACACTGCTGACGTCCTGTGTAATAAGAGGGGCGAAGCTCCATACATTGCTGATGGTCTGGTTTGGGAGAGGGACGAAGCTCCACACATTGCTGATGGTCTGGTTTGGGAGAGGGACGAAGCTCCATACATTGCTGATGGTCTGGTTTGGGAGAGGGACGAAGCTCCACACATTGCTGATGGTCTGGTTTGGGAGAGGGACGAAGCTCCACACACTGCTGATATAGAGAAAGATGAAGCTCCACACATCGATGAAAGGAAAACAATGTTGGTTTACGACTTCCCAAAACGTTGTTTTGAATAGTGGGATTTGATGGCAGCACATGCTGAAACACAGAAACAGGAACATGAAATAATACATATGTTATGTTCTTGCACCACTGTTATTTTAGATATCGATGGTTCGACTGACATTTATCAGACACAGATCGGGTGAGTGAGCTTAGTTTTCCAGCTATATGGCGCCGGTCTGACAATCCAGTGATCAACAGCCTGAGCATTGATCTACGAAATTGGTATACGATGACGTGTCAACCAAGTCAACGAGCCTGACCACCCGATCCCGTTAGTCGCCTCTTACGACAAGCATGGGTTACTGAAGATCAATTCTAACCCGGATCTTCACGGGTGCCACAGGTCGGAACACAAGTTTGGGATTTGATGACTGCATATGACATAGTTAAGCTTTTCCTTTCTTGAAAAAGCTGTAGTTCAATGAATAATTTATATGATAGGTGTCATAAGAGAGAACAAACAGCAACACAAACCACGTCCTAAAAAACACACACGAACAACAAACAGTCATACTCGTGCAAACGAAAAGAGGCACACATTTACCAACGTTAAAGACTGATAGCTGCACTGTTATACAATGGTTCGTAACTGTCAACATATGTACACATGCACGTTCAGTTACTGAGTGGGCTCTTGATGAGGCCCCAGGGCCCTGTTCCTCAAAGCTATCGTAGCGCTACGACAGTCGTAGGTCTATGTTAAAGTATGGGAGTTACGATGATCTTAGCGCTACGATCGCTTTGAGGAACGAGGCCAGTCTGAACAGAGCGGAAGGCCAATTGTGTAATTGTTGAAAATAAGGGGTCTGAATCTGGAACAGATTAATGAGTAGAATATAATTTCTATAAAAATGAAACAATCAAAGACCCACCTAAACCAAGTCTAGGTTTGTGCTGTTCGGATTAGTCTCTTAACTGGGAGAGTGAGTGAATGAAATCTGTGAATATTGGCTCACTAACAGTCGGAGATGAAGTTCCGGGATCTAATGGACGTAGATACTTTTTTCGTAATCGCTTATCGCAATTTTTTACTCCTAATCGTACCGGAAGAATCATTGTATATTTACATCTTTTGGGTCCTAATCTTCTGAGAATGGTCCTTATTTAACCTCCAGTTTTTCTGAAGAATCCTTATTTGTTTAACCCATAATCTGTCAGCAGAATCCTTTATAACTGTACACCTTGTAGAATCCCAATGGAATCATTTGTTTATCATTGCTTTCCATCTCATCTCCCAAGCAGAACGCTTAATACTTACTATGGATTCCCTGTTCCCGGCAGAATCCTGTATTCTGATAGATGGACTCGTTATGTCCCCCAAACAGAATCATTTATTTGTTCTAAATGATCTCCTTATCTTCCCAGCAGAATCCTTTGTTCTTCACTAATGGAATCCTCGTTTTCCCACTCAGCAGAATCCCTACACAGTATCTTCCCAACAGGGTATATTATTGATCATAAATACACCCTTATCTTAAGAGACATACCTTTGAATTTGTGGAAGTTTTGATGCGTTTCTAATACAATATATGGACCACTTCCTCCGCCCTTCCTTGGAGGCGGTGGGGTAGCCTAGAGGTTAAAGCGTTCGCTCGTCACGCCGAAGACCCGGGTTCGATCCCCACATGGGTACAATGTGTTAAGCCCATTTCTGGTGTTCCCTGCCGTGATGTTGCTGGAATATTGCTAAAAGCGGCGTAAAACCAATCTCAGTCAGTCAGTCTTAGGGACCGTTCATAATTTATGGCTAGGGGGGTGATGATGATTTTAAGGGGGGGTCACCCATTTTGTTCTGGGGAGGTAGGGGCGTCAGCAATTTTGTACACATGTTTCTAGGGGGTCAGCAATTTTGTACATAAAAATTAGCTTTAAAAATATGGAAGGAGGGGGTCATTGACTTTGTACATGACATGCAGGGGGGTGGGTCACTGCCTTTGTACATACATTTTAGGGGGGTCATTCACATTGTACATGCTTCTCCATAAAAATCATCATCACCCCCCTAGCCATAAATTATGAACGGCCCCTTAATGGAATGCTTTACTGTACACGTGTAGATTTCTGATGTAATTCAGTCTACCCAAGTCATCATCTGAGTCAAAACAGGCATATTGACTGGTAAACTGGACCCAGACATACCTTCACCCACACTACTTACACTGCACCTTACCTGAACGCCATATGAAACGGTTAATACAACCGCGCTGAAGCATAACACATACAAACACGTAGGGAGGATTAACACTGTGACGATACTTTTCCAATTCGTATTCGTTTGCAGTTATTTTTAATCTTAAGGACTAATGAATTGATTGAAATTTCTTTTCAGAAAATAGTTTAATCCAAGTTCTCACGCTCTACGAAATGCCTTAGCCCATCTGCACTTGCGAGCGCCAGTATGCAAGAACGTTCATGTTAACAGTTAAAACAAGAACAAGGAAACACGATGAAACAAAAAGCCTTCACACAGTGCCTTGAAGCCAGTTAATTTCAGTACCCCAAACCAGAAGAATTCCAAAGTTACACGAAGTTACATGAAGTTTTTGATGCGTTTCTAATACAATATATGGACCACTTCCTCCGCCCTTCCTTGGAGGCGGTGGGGTAGCCTAGAGGTTAAAGCGTTCGCTCGTCATGCCGAAGGCCCGGGTTCGATTCCCCACATGGGTACAATGTGTGAAGCCCATTTCTGGTGTCTCCCTGCTGGAATAACTAAAAGCGGCGTAAAACTAAACTCACTCACTCACTCATTCACTCATTACAACATATTGTTTACGATGCGTGGACGTCCAGCTTCTTGGTCTGTCTACGGTGATCCCAGTCTGTCTGAAGCCCTGAATAAGTCTTATAACCGTGATACGGTGGCATCCGGGGGC